TGTGTCGGGTTTCTCGCAAGTCTGACACTGATTCAATTATAAAACCTGGGTATAATAATAATAATAATAACCTGACGGTGTGAACCACCGACGGGACACCAGAGCTCAGTGCACCGACAGGCGTTGCTTTAATGAACCGTGGCCCAGTTTTATAGATGACTATAAATACCAATACGACGCACTTACATACTTACGCATGTATGTACCTACGTTGTTGCGAATATTTGCGTGATGTACGTATGTACGTACGTATATATATATAAGGTTGGATGTGACGGATGTTATCTACGTTGTATACGGTTCAGTAGCTTTATGACAGTATGCGATGTCCTGGGTATTGCTTGCTTGTTCGATATGAAATTTCGTTACATTAGTTACAGTCGGTTAATCGAATCTTTGGGTAACAAATGTCTGTGTATATATATATATATATATATATATTCTTCATTGTTGGATTAGATAAAAGGACCTTGGAACTTGATTAATCAATGTTATCAAATATTATGACAGTTTCAATAGGTCATGTTAATGTACCCCTATGAATTTTCATCACATTGGTATCTTGATAAATATATCATATATATCATATATTCTTCATTGTTGGATTAGATAAAAGGTATTGCTTGCTTGTTCGATATGAAATTTCGTTACATTAGTTACAGTCGGTTAATCGAATCTTTGGGTAACAAATGTCTGTGTATATATATATATATATATATATATTCTTCATTGTTGGATTAGATAAAAGGACCTTGGAACTTGATTAATCAATGTTATCAAATATTATGACAGTTTCAATAGGTCATGTTAATGTACCCCTATGAATTTTCATCACATTGGTATCTTGATAAATATATCATATATATCATATTTAATCTAAGTCTAGGTAATTGAATCATAATTGAGCCGTAAGTGACAGTATCTCATAATCGTTATTCACACTGTATTCATTTCATTAGCGCTTGATCAGAATGCTTTGCTGAAGCTTTCTGTCATGTATGTACATACTTGTAATACTGTCTTTGTGATCTAATATTTGTGTTATAAATTTTGTATAGCTCTGGGTGGTGTAGGTATCTTTGGTCTATAGGTCATTATATTACGTTTCACGTGAAGTTTATTGGAGCGCAGCTGTTATAATAATTCATTTGAATTATTGTGATAATCCTCGAGCTCTCAATTGGCGGAAAGTTACTAGTGCTTCGAAAATATTTCTTAAGACGAAATGGTTATCTAAAAATCTGTCGGTACTTTTTTTGGAAATATTTCTGTTTGACGTTTAAACGCGACTATCGAAAGTTACTTTGGGTAATTGTGTGAGAGTGCGATATATAGTATGTATGTGTATATATGTAGTTAGAAATGATTGTCTGCATCTTGATCAATGGAGACGCTTGAATACTTATGTCAAACGACAACATGACGACAAGCTTGAAAACGAAGTGGCGATTTGTAGAGTGGAAATTTACTAACTGCAAAAAAATCGTAATCTCTTATCGGTCTTAGGTTTGTTGCGAATTTTCGATTAGGGATTTACGACGTAACACATTCCTGGTATGTTTATGCTATTTCGAAACTTGGATAAAACTAATAGAAAGACAGTCTTGGGCTATCAATTCGACCACGCGTCATGTTGATATTTATTATTTGCTTTTTTCCCCGTTCCGCCACCACGTAGTTATCACTGACGTAGATGACTCCCCGCGGCTACCCAATGCTGATTCCACTCTGAGACTCGTTTTTTGGAATTTAACAAAAAAAAAAAGATATTTTGATGGATGATATTTTTTTATGCCTACCGATATTAACTACGCGATTGTCATCTCGCATCTTTACGTTGACGTTCTGTTGAACACTGCTTCACTTTGGCTTTGTGTTTGTGGAGACTTTGATTACATTTTTTTTGGGTTATTGAACGAACATCGCTCGCGCTGACAGGAATTAGATGCGTTATCGCGATAATGGCGAGTTCATACATAAATCGTGATCATTACGTGCGCAATTTTATCATGGATATATTGTTTTTTTTTCCCTTTTGAGCAAGCACGTAACAAATTATTAAAAAATAAATTTCCTATGTTATCCATATTTTTTGCTTGCGTTAATAGAGAGCATTGTTAATGAATTTCGAATTTGCTGATTTTTATGTGCACACTTTTTTCAATGTTTATCACAATTGTCTATATTGTCATATTGTATCTTAAAGTATGTATATACTTTTAGTGCTTTTTAACGTAAAGTGTGACAATTTAAACAATTTTCATTATGCATACGTAGTTCTCGTCTCGTGAGCTTCACTTTTATTTTAAAATCATTTTGAACGTTGTTACTCGTACATTCAAATCCCTTTAGCAACCTTCATGATTAATAATGAGAATTAATGTATGACTTTTGAAGAGATAGTTTATACATTGCATATAACATGCTTAAGCGTGTAAACACGTACTCAAATAGTCGAGCATGGCGTCGCTGTCTACAGCTCTGATGATCGGATCAAAGATGACGTGATTAGGCGTGTATCGTTATAAAAATAGAATTGGGCGTTATATTTCTCAAAGTAATTGTATCATCGATAAGCGTCATTGCCGTAATAAGAAATAGACGTACAAAAGTGTCACCCAGTAAGCATATCTTACTATTGGCTTCCTTACCAAATTGCTTTCCTGACCCCTTATGCTTTACGCTCGGAAAGACTTACTGACTGCCAATAATTGTTCTTGGAACCGATTGTTCCGGGAAGTTCCGTATATATTATCATATTCCATTACAATTTCTTGATACGTACAATCTATAAATTTGATATTATACAATTATATTGATTTTATCATAATTATTCGATAATAAAGTATCGGATATCCGACTCTACGCAGATACCGGTATTGGTAACGGTGTTGGAAAATCTCAAATATCGCATAAGAAATGTTAATATTGACTTTTATCAGCGCTAAATGAAAACTTGAGAAAAATTCATTTACCAAAATATACGGAAGCAGATTGAGATTGAAATGGTTGGTCTGTAACGCGATATCTTAACGAGGGTAAAATTCACAATGCAAAAGTAGAATGGGTCTCCGTTAATAGTATGTACTCTGCATTAATATACGGGTACGGTATGGGTAATTATTAAGTACCGCATTAACCCGGTACACGGCGCAACGAACGCATTGAAATACGTATAAGAAAGCAGAAAAACAAAGAGAAATAACGACCCTCTCGTTTAGAATATTCGTGCACATCCGTACCCGTGTGACAAGGCTGTGCCCGCGTTGTTGGTAATCTTGGCAATCAACCAGGATAATTTTCCATGTATTGTCGACATATTACGTAAAGATCACGGGAACGTGGAAGATAAAAGTGATAATTCATAGAAACTCAGCTAATTCAGCTCGCGGTGCGCGAGCAACGAACACTTTACGACGTACGAATCTTGGAATTGTTTAATTGCAACATTTTTGCATTTGATTATCGATATATTTTTTTATTCGCTATTTCCAATTGTTCGATGTATGAACTTTTTGTGGCAAATTAATTCAGTGGTTCTTGGAATCGTTTGAAACGTCTGTTACTTACGTGTACTATATGCACGTCGCTGTAGGCAAATATTTCCTAAATGATAAAAGGCTACGTATTTGTACAGGTGGCTCACACGCATTCGTATTATCTTAAAGATATTTTGCTACATCGCGTCAATTTGCAATAAAAAAGATATTTATTTTTTACCCGTATGCATTCCAATTTTGAATTTTTTCGTACCGTACATTGCCAATGAGATTAAGATGTGTCTATTTTTAATGCATTGTTAAGTATTGCATAGAATTTTGTTTTTTATTCCAATTTAAAAAAACTCCCAGTCATTCAATCAGACCTAGGTCGATGTGCACGAAATTCGTCCATTGCACGAATATGATCGTTACGAAGTAATAACCGTATTCGAATCGTGCATCGTTTTGTCTTGCACGGGTATCAAATTATTTTAATCTTTAAAAAGAGTTTTATTATACGAAAGTAATTTAACTACGAAAATTTTCTGCCTAAACAATAGTTGATCGGTATGATTAGTACTGATTAAATGTTGCTACTGATGATATTACGCCAAATGTGTTATGTTGCCCTTCAAAATTGGTCTAATATGATATTAACGACTTGAATTATTCAGCTATGTAGATTACAGTTTGCATTGTGATAAGCCATAGAATGATGTTGGCTTGTAACACTGTCAGTAGGAAATATCTGACAATAACAGTCTTCGTCATTCTACCTCGTCTCCCTTCTCCGTACTATACAAAAATCTGTCGCAGATCGCAATAAAGATTTCCACGTACCGCACGCGTAGACCTAATGAAATTTTCTCAGTTTCACGTGAAACAGATAAAACGGATTATTAGAAAAGTTTTTTCAGGACGTTCTTAACGTCCGCGTCTATGAAATTGCATTACCAAGAAACACACGAACTTAATAAATCGATAATCGAAATTTAAAAGATACCTGAAAATTCGACGACAGCTAGCAGATCGATCGTGATTAGTACATGGCTGCGATATCTTGCAAAGAGCGTGCGAGCTATCAATTTCAAATCCCCAGAAGAAAAATACTCCCGTATATTAGTAAACAATTTTCAGTCCTCGTCAAAATAGATCGCGCAGTCGATAAATGTGATTCGTCCTTTGTCACAGTAATCGTATTACATAAAAACACAATGACCGTTATTGCGCAACTCTGATTTCGCTTTCGCATAGACGCATAAAGGTAGTTATAATAATGGGGGTAATTAATATATGTATAAAGTTACCATTATTATCGTTACTAATTATTATGGCTAGTAAATATTTCAGTGGTATACATTAGTGGTGCCTTGTGGAAGGCGACTGCGCTGATGCTAACAATAGTGGGGGGTCTTCGTAGCCATGACGGCGGAAGTGGGGAGTGGAATTTGAAGCGGCGATTGTAGACAGACGCCTAGTGGGGGTTTGCATGCTCAAAGGCGCTTCAGAATCTGAACTCGTGAATTCAGTATCGTCTTAAACTCCGGTCAGTCAGTGTGAGGTTCCGCTACGACCGGATTTGTGTCTTCCTTTGATTAGATTTAATCGGTACAGGGTCGTTCCGTGAGGTCGTCTGCAGCACGTTTGGTGATACTGTTTCGCGTGCGGTTTTATTCTTTTTCAATTTCCTTACGCCCTTGCTGAATAAGGATTCCTCTCCCGGCATCTCGGGCCGCTACTTTCCACAGACTATTGATTATTCCGACTGACTGTTGTAAAGATTCGCAGATCGAAACTTCGTAATTATTTTGTTCTGTTATTCGATTAGTTTTAGTGCTGTGAAACGTTCCTTGTACGAATTCGAGATTCGGTTTTGACGGTTGGCTCAGATCTCAGGTAATTATTTTTATGTTATTCATATGGACATTTTCGTACCTCTTATATTACGTAACATGGGAATGTTAATGGAAATAATTAGCTGTATTTAATGTATGCAACATTTTCTATAGCATTATTTAACGTCGACTCAGCTTTCAGAGAATCTTGCGTTTTTGACAGCTAGTCTATCATTATTGATGCTATGTCCAACGTGGAATATTCCTAGGCAGTTGAGTTTAAAGAAATGATGACATACGTAAGGGTGTGTTTCTATTTAGAATGCTATGGTATCTTAGGCTTCGAGGAGGGTTCTTTCGTAGAAGCAGTGGCGCAGACGTAACCTAAGGCAAATAAGATATAACGACCGGCACAATCTTTTTTCCACGACGAATAGTTCATAGCACTCGTCTGCGAGGAACCTTACCTAACTTCACACCGCAGTTTTGTTCCAATGGACATTCAAGTGTTCACTAATATAAAAAGAGTACCAGTCGCGAACTCGTTATCAGGCTCTTGTCGCGCATTCACACTTAAATGAATCCTGTAAAAGTATGAGTGAATTAAGGTCACGAAGATTTCTCTGAATATGTCATGTCGCATAAACGAGGGTTTGTAAATTAAAGATGTTTGCGAAAAGTACATTTACCGGTACTTTATACACTTACCTTGTTTATTCGCTTATCAGACTCATTGTATGTTCTCAGAGCAGTAAGGTACTTGTTATCCGTTTATTTTCCGTATTTTATTCTTTTATTTTTATCAATTTATAATAGCTGATTATTAAATACAGTAACTTGTGTATCCCTACTATTACACGTTGAGCTTTCGGTGTAAAATACAGACTCTTAGTTAAATATTTTTAATGCACCCGAATGGTGGCTTCCGTTCTAAGACTTCTTCAGGAAAAGGTGGGTCAAGTTTTGTGTTTATTTTTTTTTGAGATAGCTGTTGACGTAAAAAAATAATATAACACACTAGAATCGCTAATGAAGACGAAACTCACTTTTCAAAGTAAACAGTTGCATATGAAATATTTTCACGAGTGGCAAAAATAATTAAAATCATTGCTGCACAAATTACTAGAAACGTTGCTAACTGTCTTGGAAATTATACGGAACTTTGAAATATTCATGAAAGTTCTTTTAACGTGGTCGAGGTATATACGCTTATAGTCATACGTGGTCTACAGTGTATATGTATATTTCAGGTATGTTGTGTACTGTATACAGGTCGTACATACTACAAGATATATGTGATATACATATGTCAGACGTAGTCTGCAATATAGCACAGTAGCCTGTGAGAGATCAATAGTTTCCATGCCTGGAAATTTTTTAACGTGCTCCGCCCAATTTAAAGTGCTATTTTATAATTACGGGTAATCCAATGCAGGTCTATAAGGTCGTTCGAACCAGCTTTGTTTTTTCAAATTACTCGGTCTACGATCAATTGAGGAATTTGAAACGATCGCAAAAATAGTGTTACACAAGAAAAACAGTCGAAAGTTCAGAGTCATTTTTACTGGTAAATTCTATTTTCGACAATTATTAATACTTACGCTCAGCGCAAAACAAAGTATAACGGACAGATTGAATAATACATTTTTTTTTATCGTTCTGCTCGAATTTGTATTTTGATATGGCCCTGCAAAATATATATATTTATGCGCTATGCTACACTTATTATACTATATGATATAGCTGACTAGAGAATTTATCGTTATATCTTTATGAATTTTTATTATTAATATGTAACAAGGAAACAGATGAAATCCGAATACCAATAATCAATAAAACGTCTGGGTCAGGTTACGTGACCGGTACGGGATACTATTGCGGCAACTTTTGTATTTCCGCTGCGTTGTACGTTACCGTCGGCGACCTTGTCTGTTATTTATCCTCAAGTAATTTACGTAATACGGTGCAAAAAGGGAAAACAGCGAGAAATGTCTGGCAGATATACATACAAATATTCTCCTTGTCCGTTGCGGACTGAAGAATTTTCCTCTTTTCTTTTTTTTTTTCGTAGAGCCAGAAATGTTGCAACTATACATGACACTTCTGCTAAATCTCATTCTGGCCTTGAGGACTTTTATTTTTCTTGATAACAAGGTCAACACGAATACCATATCTCTCATAAGAACCGTAACACAGTCTACCAAAAAACCGTAATTTGCTAATTGGATATGCACATCGGAAATGCACTTGAGAATGCATTGTTGGTTTTTTTTTTTTTTAAGGCAATAATTCAATATACAATTTTACCAATGACTGCTCGTGGGAATTTGACTTTTTTTAATCTACGGGATTGAATAATTGATAGAAGCAGATGCGACCTATAGGAGCGAAAATAGTAATGCGCATTTTATTTATTCACCGCTTTTATCAGGTTACTTGGTTACTTTTTGTTTTTGCATCGCCGAGAACCGGCCAATCCATATGTATGCATATGGTAACGCTATAGCGTTACCACTTCTGTTTGACTTTCATTCTATGAACTCAGACAGCCTCGAAATGCCTGCATAAAGATTTGTGATGTTATATCAAGGATTAGGTAGGATTCATAAGATTTGTATCGTTAATTTAGTTTTATGATTCTTCTTTTTTTTTACAGATTACGAATATGAGCTCTGGTGATCCGTGGTCACTCCCGGTAAAGCAGGGTCTTTATGACCCAACACTCGAGAAGGATGCCTGTGGGGTCGGTTTCATCGTGGCCATTGATGGAAAACGTTCTCACAAGGTAAATGAGAATTATCAATGCCCTTTGCCGTGTACGCGTGCTCTTATCAAATTAATAATTCTCTGGGATTTAAGGATAATTTGTAGCCTCATCAATATACAAAATCCAATGTCATAAATCGTCATTGATTAAATGATAAATCACCGTGAAAAATCCGATACCGAAGATACGACCTCTGATTAAATCTGTCGATATGTGTTTGTGAATCAATTTGAAAAAGTTTTTTGAATTATGTTAATTATCGATTCGTATCAATAATCGTAGGAGATTAGAGTCGTGATACGAGATGGTTATATTGAGAAATCATCCCGGATAGTCAGATTAAAGGTTATTTGCATGTGATATTTACGAGCGCACGCGTGATGGCTATACTTGCAATATACGATGATGGAATTGAAACATGATCAAATACAAAAAAGTTCAGTATACGCGATATAAAAATTGCGCCGGTGTGAGTTCAGTCTATGAGAAATGGGGTGCTGCGTTAATAAACGAGATATTGAGATCAAGATGTATCTCAAATATATTATTATTACGTGCTTGCATCAGATGACTTTTTTTTTGTATATGGCGCTATGAATGATGTAGAAACTTTTCGAATATCTGTTATTCTCCATTCGACGATAATCCTGACTGGTCTATCTGGAATAATTTCATTCAAATCTGACGCACAAGCTTTTATCTTGTGCAATTCTCTCAAATCGTCACTTTCGCACACGCGCGTAACCTCTGCTTGCGTGCATTTTATCAGTAGCCCCCTTCGTGGTAAGGTTAATGCTAGATTTTCGATAACATTACGCACTGTTGATAATATTCCTACGTGTAGGTACCTATATATGTATCTCGGTAATAATTCTTTAGACATACATATGATGTTTTTCCTTGAAGACAAAATAATTTTATAAGTGAAACCTCACCGTTAACATTGAACTAGTCAAACGTTTCCGTAGACGCAATACTCGTTCAGGGTTTATGGCCAGTTGCGTCGCTTATTAGTAATATTTTATTTGTTATCTGTCCTTTTCGAAGGACAGATCATTTTTTTTTTTTCTAACGAAGGACAGAACTCTTGAGACGCTTTAGAATTTCCTCATTTTCAAAATGACCATGATGGCTAATAACTTTAAATATTTTTTTTCTTTTTTTAGATCGTTCGCGATGCTGAGAAGCTATCAGCCCGCATGAATCACAGAGGTGCTTGCGCATGTGATAACGATACTGGTGACGGTGCCGGTGTACTTTGCGCAATTCCTCATGATTATTATGCAGCTGAAATTCGGTGAGTCTGCCGTGAGAGAAATCTTAAAGACAGATTTACGGAAATTCGTCTCAGTTGTGCAGAATGCGAATTAAGCGTTTGATGATTCAGACCGAGGTCATTGATAAGGAGCTGACTTATTTTGTAACATTATTATTAACCCTCGTAAAACATTTTCCCCAGGGGGTCTGATATCGGTGTTACACTTGTTTGCCAGTCTCCGTCTCGGTATTTGTCGTCTTATCTATAACAAGTCTGGATGACTCTCGAAATATACACGTCATCTGGTCTAAGTCTCTTTGTAATTGCGTTTCGTCATCTTAACGATAAAGAGACGCTATTTCGTATATATACATATATGTGTGTGTGTGTGTGTGTGTATATATATATAATACGAAAAAAGTCTGTGACTATTCTGGCTGTAGGCTTAAAATTGTGGCACATTTAGATGATAAGTAGAAGACTTCCTTATTGCACCTAATAGATATTGAAAAAAGGAAAAATTGAGACCCATTCTAGCAATCGCAATAGAGCAATTGTCTTATTGAAGATTCAGTGGAACACATGGTACAATTTAAGAATTGAAAACTACATAACGTTATTTTGTACTATAAACGTAGTGATATCTAGTATAAGCAATTCATTTCATTCATATGTACAAAGCCTAGGAGTTTCCTAAGAGTACTGAATGACCCGAATACTCTTTTGGCTCGGTGCATTTTGACAGACGAAACAAACATTACAAGGGGACATAACTGTTTAACTCTTTGATAAATCGTTTAGTAAGTAAACTCGAACTCGTTAGTCGTACTATTTTGCACTTGCTTGAAAAGTACTATTCCAAATTCTATATGATATTTAGCATTTTACTTAGCATCAAGATTATAATAAAGGCGTCAAATCACTGTCTAATAAAAAGTATAAATCGGTTACGAAAATTTAATTAACGCGATAAAAATTGTTTTCTTTAGTACAGCGATTTGACATTCCTTGTGTTTGTTTAACGTATGTAAAATTTATTTTTAATATTAGACAAGAAGTGTAAGTCATTATGACATGTAATTATTTTTGATTCGTACGATTACAGTGAGACGCAGGGAATTGAATTGCCTGAATTTGGACGTTACGCTACTGGTATTCTTTTTCTGGATAAGAATACTCACGAGGAAACCGAAGCTGCATTCGAGAAACTTGCCAAAAAATGCAAACTCAGAGTAAGTCTGCGATGTATTGCGTCGATGATTTGCCTTTATTATACAAGTGGTAAGCTATTTTTGCAAGCTTCTTTAATGGTTTATTGATCAATTGTTTATCTCAGGTCCTTTGCTGGCGTGACGTACCCACAGACAACAGTGCCATTGGTCAAGTGGCACGAAAATGCGAGCCTTACATGCGTCAGGTCTTCGTCACCGGCGACCAAGAGGTGGAAGCCCTCAATCGTCAGGTAATTCACTGTCAACAATGATGCGACAATAACGTTTTGCCCGTGAAGATTTTTCACCGGAAATTAATGAAGATTCGTTTAAGTCTCATCTATGAGAAGGTTTTATTATCCTTTAATTACACTAAGGGACTCTGGCACTCCATCCAGATGCTTAATGGCAAAACAGCTGCATGCATTTTGACGAAGGATGCACCCGACGTCCGTCTGCATTCTTGCAAGCGAGCGACGAGCTAAAATTAGCTTCCTAGTGATTTCAATGGGCGCTTGCCAGGAAACGTAAATTGTAGAGTAAAGTGAAATAGTGTTTCAAACGGCGAGGACATATAGTACGGCAGACTTTTGTGCCTCTACTTTATTGTGCATTGCCATTTATGCGCCTTCGTGTTTATGCATAGGTACAGGTTCCTTGTATGGTTTCAGTATTGTACAGTTTTTTCTATTTATTAAAATTGTTTTGAGTTACGTCAGTTATACGCTCACTATTTTCGCCAGGTTGTTAAGAGCTTTATATTTTAGGCTCTAATGAGCAAGGCCATAATGAGTGTCTATCAAAATGGCTGGCAGTTAGGTAGGTTCACGTAACGGACATATATGGCCTGTTTAATTAGACCCAGACTAAATTGCTTGGCATTGAGGATCTTTGCCAATTCGCAAAAATAGAATGACGCGTCTTTCATCGTAAACATTATACACTTGCGAATCTTATTTCTGTTCGCTCTTTTTCTTTTTTAAATTTAGCTCTTAGTAGCATCGACTCTAATTCCAAATTGTTTTACCGCTTTCTTTAGGTGTTCGTATTGCGAAAAAGATCATCGCACACAATTCCCAAACCCGGTCTGCGATACTACATCTGTTCGTTTTCGCTGAAGACTGTCGTTTACAAAGGACAGCTCACCGCAGATCAACTATGGCTCTATTTCCTGGATTTGAAAGTAAGTGTCTCGTACAATGAGGATAGAACGTTCAAGCTTAGTTTTTATATCTGGTAGATGCGTAGCGAGACTAACAGTGTATAAGTTACTGGGCTCGAAATTAAAAAAAAAAACTTTTTTCTATTTCTTTGAACAGTCCCCGAAATTCGAGACTTACCTGGCGCTGGTACACACTCGTTTTTCGACAAATACTTTTCCAAGCTGGGAAAGGGCTCACCCACTTCGGTAAGCAAACCAAAACAAAAATACAATCTTGTTAAGCATTAATATTGAACAGATTATGTACCTGGAATACGACTCTTAAAATGTTATTGTATACTAATTATGAGTGTAAGCAGAATCACATGGACCGACTACTTAAGCAAAGTGTGAAGGGAATTGTAGAGTACTGTAAATCAAGTGTACATACAGGTTTAGAATGGATTTGTATTTGAGGAGCATATGTCTGTTTGGTTCGCAGATTGCTCGCACACAATGGCGAAATCAATACTCTGCGTGGCAACGTGAATTTGATGAAGGCTCGCGAAGGCGTGATGAGCAGTGCCTTGTACGGTGATGAATTGAAGGAACTGTATCCAGTCGTGGAGCCTAATCTCTCAGATTCCGGTGCAGCCGATTGCGTCTTGGAATTCTTAGTGATGGCTGGACAGAGAACATTGCCTGAGGTAGATTAGAAAATTTAAATTAGCAAAAATTTCTTAGTAGTCATGAAATAATGTTGCTTTCTCGAGAAATAGCATTCGAGCGTCGATCTAGGGCCGCGGTACCACTCTATATGTTTAAATTTTAGGCTGTGATGACTATGGTACCAGAAGCGTGGCAGAACGATCACACCATGGCTACTGAGAAACGTGACTTTTACCATTGGGCAGCCTGCGCCATGGAGCCATGGGATGGTCCAGCTCTTCTCACTTTCACCGATGGACGCTACGTCGGAGCAATTTTAGACAGGTAGAAATTGCATAGATTTGTTTTTAATATACCTACTTATCAGAAGTTTGTTGGTTTTCACGTTAATTCAGCTTTACTTTCATGGACCAGTTTTGTGATGACCAGCACGTGTGGTTATACCGCGCGAAATTTGGAGATTCGGCGGTTCTGCGCTTATTGAACTTGGCACACAAACTTGTCTCTCGAGAAACCCGTAAAAAATTTTGCAATTTACCAAACTCATTCGTGGGTACTGTGAAACGTTTCCCAAAACTCTAATGCAGATGATTTACTGAAGAATTCATATGCGTTACTGCGTGTTTTGGTACCTTGCAAGATTTTCGCGGTTGCATTCACTCGCGAAATTACGACAAAGGAAAGGCTTGAATTCGTTTTTTGAAGATTTGCATTGAAAAATAGTGTTTTACTGTAACGTTGAACTATATGTGTACCTTGAGGAAACCTTAAAATTGTATAATGAAAAATCGAATTCTCATGTCAATTTCCATTGTCATTATTTTAAGGGCGGATCATATAACAGGGCGTAACGGATAAACAGAACTAGGCAGGGTCAGGGAGAGCGAAAGCGAGAGAGAGAGAGAGAGAGAGAGAGAGAGAGAGAGAGAGAGAGAGAGAGAAAGAAAGCGAATGTAAATATGAGAGAAAAAGTGATTGTAAGAAAAATGCCCGGCTGGGAATGCAAACGAACTGACACGAACGAACAACATTAATTCAGCTGATTAGCGAGCGATTCAAAGGTGGTAATACAGAAGACCTTTTTGAATTTTTGTTTGGCAGAAATGGCCTGCGCCCGTCGCGCTTCTACGTCACTAAGGATAACATGATGGTGATGGCGTCCGAGGTGGGCGTCTATGATACTCCGCCCAGCAATGTTGTCCTGAAGGTAAACAAGGAGAAATAACGCATCAAGGGTCCCAACCATGTGGTGAATTTTACGGGCAGCCTGAGACAGAGTCCTTCGTTTAGAAACCAAACAAAAAATTCAAATCCAAAAAGTCCTGCAGCAAGGAGAAATCCAACTCTATATTGTTCAATATAGAGAATATTTCAGCTTTAGGAAAAGGATTCCCGGAGAAGCAAGGATCGACCTTAGGATCTTTTGATGACCTTTGAACGGGGTTATCGGAGTAGTAGCTGAGATATTTCAAGGCTGATGGCTAAGAGAACAGGATCTCTTGGACTCAACGCGCATATATTTCTAATTATTTTCTACATCCACACAGTCCTTTTTCGACCCAATAATTTTTATCTCATCTTAGTGATTTTTTATTTGCATCTTTAACCGAGCAGTCACTTATCTTAAATGTCTCAAATGCAGGAAAACTGCTATAAAAGTTTTTATTTAATATTTTTTTTTTTTAATTTCATATATCTTATCATAGACTAGTACTGTTTTTGAAAATCGACATCTGAGGTGCAGTGGCTACTCGGACGAGAAAATAAAATATATAAAAGTGAGAAAAGGTCAAGAACAAAAATGGATGCTCCATGACGTACGTTGACGTGGATATATCGCGCACCGATCGTCTATGATAATTATCTTCGGTTTTCATTTTTATTTTTGACGATAAATCTTGATCTCTATTTCATCATTCGTGCAGCATATAATTTTTTTTAAGGTTTCGTAGGTGTGCGTGTCTCTCCATGGGGAAACAGGCCCTTCGTATTTCGATAAAGAGAAAACGTCTGGACATTTTCAACATACAAATCCCGTTAATACATATCCACAGCAACCATTTGATAATGACCCCTTCCCATAAAATTATGTCGATAAAATTTTAACTGCACATGCAATTTTTAAACCTTTTCAAAACTGTATACTTAGCGAATCACCATTGTATTTTATTTATTTTTAATCATGCCATATATGCTGTATAATTTATATCATCTAGGGAAACTGGGTTTGTATTAAAGAGCAGAGTAGGATCGTCATCCAGTGCTGTCACACATAGTGAATGTCGTACGCGATCAAGTCACTATTCCTCCCGAATCACACGAATCTCATTTTACTTTCAGAGTCGCTTGAAGCCCGGAAGAATGCTACTGGTTGACACAGAAGAAAAACAGATCATTCAGGATGTCGAGCTGAAGCTCAAGATTGCACGGAGCCGACCTCACTCGCTCTGGCTAAAGGAGCAGGTAAATAAAAGTGACGTTTCTTTACTCTTCTTTTAATCACCCATGCTCATATCTTGTTCGTCGTCCCTTTACGTACATACGAGATGAAAATACTAAGAATCTTAAATGTATGATTTACATTAAGTATGTTGTTGCACCCAATATTTTTGTAACCACCAATGAAATTCTTCGTCCTCGAACTCGTATATACCTACAGTGAACATTATCAATTAATAGTACGGTCATTTGTAACAAGTCGATCGTTATGTTTAAATGTTATATTACCCACATCTACATGGGCTGGTCCTTTAACGAAATTAGCTTTTACAAAAAATTGTATAAGGTATTAACTGGACATCATTCTTTTTCCAATTATCCTGTGTGCTGACAACCATTGGTGTTATGTGCAGATGGTGAGTCGTAATCGACGTACTGGTTCATAAGTGTTTTTTTGATTTTGTGGTTCTTTTACTTTTTCTCCATCTTTTTAAAAGTTGAATATTTTTTATCTCTGGCGATAATCACGTTTTCACTGCACACCTACTCTGCATTATTTCACTATACTCGTTCCTGGTGTATGTTTTTTTTCTTCGTATTTTTCTATTACCGTATCTGTTCTGTGTACCGTAGAAATGTTGCTAGTTAATACTCCTTTCTATTCTTTAAAATGTAATCACTACTCCCCTTTGTGTTCTTTTGTGTTGTCAATAGTATATACTTCTATTGGTTTGCGGCGTAGACTTATTTACAGTTTGTGTTGCTGTGCATTTTCTTCTAGTTGTATAATTTTTCCTAGCTTTTTTATATTCAATATATTTCGTCCACATCGACTCTTATCAATTCGTTGGCATTATTGCTCGTTTGCGTTTTAATTTTGTATATTTATACATCCTTTAGAGCATCTTGATTTAGGTAACAGGAGTGGTAGCGTAAAATCATTTAGAAATATTAATAATATTCAATAAATTAGATATGAAGTGCTGTTTTTTTGACTCGAGTATTTAAGGCTCCATCACTTATATGATTTTCATGTACTTTGGGATTCTATTTGTTTTTATCTATCTGAGTATTATCCTTGAGAATTTGTGGACGTTCTTTGGAATAATTTTTAGCGTGACAACGTTTTTTAATTTTTGTTGTTGTTGAAAATATAGATAACCTTGGAACAATTGCGACTGGCTCATATTGAGGCACATGGACCTAATAGCCTTAATGAAAATAGTAACTATACCGATGCACCGCAGCAGAACGGAATAGTGGGATTTGAAAATCCAATTTCTGGCGTGAATCGTGTATGGGGTGGTGATAAGAGATTGTCCCTTTATGGTTATACTCTGGAAACCATAAACATGCTGTTGATACCCATGATTCAGACAAAGTACGTATTATATAAATATTGTTAAAATAATTCTATTGGCGTTTCAATATTGTTGTCAATTAAATATTGGAAACAGTATGTATTGTGAAAACAAATATCTTAGTACCTGAGAACATATATTACTATTATTTTCAGAAAAGAGTCTTTGGGTTCCATGGGTAATGATGCTCCTCTGGCTTGCTTATCACATTTCCAACCACTCATTTATGAGTATTTCAAGCAACTGTTCGCCCAGGTAATTGATATTTTGAAAAATGACTCCCTAAGCTGTAGGCGCTTTGAGGGAACAAATACTAAAGACAGATTTTTATGTTGCAAATATTCAGGTCACGAATCCTCCCATCGATCCATTTAGAGAGAAAATCGTAATGTCTCTTTTGTGTCCAATTGGACCTGTGAGCAACATTTTGGAACCCAACGAATTACAAGTTCATCGATTGTTCTTGCCGCAACCGATACTCTCTTTGAGTGACCTTGATGTGATTAAAAAGACCTCCTATCGCGGATGGCGTACAAAGGTTATTGACATCACGTACCCAGTCGAAGACGGACCTGCTGGTCTTTTGAAAACTTTGAATCGCGTAAGCGACGAAGCAAATCAGGCTGCTCGTGATGGTTATCAAATTTTGGTTCTATCTGATAGACAAGCTGGACCTGAAAGGTAAGAATTCTTATCTATAATTATTCGTACAAATTTTTTAAACGCATATTTTAATTACATAGAATCCCAGTGAGCACTTTACTGGCTCTTGGTGCTGTTCATCACTTCTTGATTGAGGAACGGCAACGGATGAAAGTTGGTATCATTGTTGAATCTGGCGAGGCTCGTGAGGTCCATCATATGTGTGTTTTGCTGGGATATGGTGCCGATGCTATTTGTCCATATCTGGTATTCGAAATGGCGAGAAACCTAAGAGCCGACGGAGCTTTGGAAGCTTCGTTTACTGACGAGATTATGTACAAGGTAGGTTTACTGGGAAATATGTTTGTGCAGATCATTTACTACTTTTTCAAAGAGTACCGTAAGTTTTGGTAATTAATCCTGAAATTATTACAGAATTATTCCGAAGCCATGGAACGCGGAATTGCCAAAGTGATGGCCAAAATGGGCATTTCAACTCTGCAATCGTACAAAAGTGCACAGATCTTTGAAGCCGTCGGTCTCTCCGACGAAGTGATTGATAAGTGCTTCAGGGTACGTATTATTTATGCAAGTTAAGCTGCCTTTGGTTTTTTTAAAACAACATTTTCACAAACAATAATGATTATAAACTGGATCCAATTAATGATTGATGTTGATTCGAAATTCTTAATGAATACTGCAATACTACAGATTACTTTACCATAGTTGTTGAATCTTAGTAATTAGTGACTTTTAATTGAACCAGGGAACACAATCTCGAATCGGTGGAGTGACCTTTGACATTTTGAGCAAAGAGACCTTTGAGAGACATCAATTGACTTATCACGAAAAAGTGGTTGACATGATAGTTCTACGAAATCCTGGAATTTATCACTGGAGATCTGGCGGTGAGAAACATATAAATGATCCAGTCAGCATTGCCAACTTGCAGGTGAGTAATGAAATATTTAAACGTTATAGGACAAGTTTAAGATTATGTTATTTCTCTAGGATGCTGTTACATCCAAGAATAACAGTGCTTATGAGAATTATCGTAAAACGTCCATGGAAGCCATAAGATCTTGTACTCTTCGGGGACAATTGGAATTCGTCAAAACGAATAAATCAGTTCCAATTGATGAGGTAGAACCAGCATCGGAAATTGTCAAACGCTTTGCAACCGGCGCCATGAGTTTCGGTAGTATTTCACTAGAGGCGCATTCGACCCTTGCAGTTGCAATGAATAGAATCGGTGGAAAATCCAACACTGGCGAGGGTGGTGAGAATGCTGACAGGTAAATACCATTATTCAGTCCATAACGAAAAATCATTATGACTAGTTAATCCATTTTCCAAGGCTTATTGCAATAATCATACCTGAACGAAATTTGATAACTTCAGATATCTCAATCAGGATCCTGAATTTAACAAACGTTCCGCTATTAAGCAAGTGGCTAGTGGAAGATTTGGTGTAACTTCAAGCTATTTAGCCAATGCTGATGACTTACAAATTAAAATGGCACAAGGTGCCAAACCTGGTGAAGGTGGTGAATTGCCTGGATACAAGGTAATTTATTGTATGACAAAATAATTGCGTAAATAAATTGTTCATTTGTAACAATATTTATTCGATATCCAGGTAACTGCTGACATCGCTGCTACTCGACATTCTGTACCAGGAGTAGGCCTTATCTCTCCACCACCGCATCACGATATCTACTCGATTGAGGATCTAGCAGAATTGATCTATGATCTAAAGTGTGCCAATCCGAATGCACGTATATCCGTTAAGCTCGTATCGGAAGTCGGTGTTGGCGTAGTTGCAGCTGGTGTTGCAAAGGTACATTAATTAATTAAGTTTCCTTACAATGATTAAATTGCAAACTTTCAATTGAACTACTCTACATACACTAAAATTCTACTTTATAGGGGAAAGCAGAGCACGTGGTTATATCCGGACATGATGGTGGTACTGGTGCTAGTAGCTGGACGGGAATAAAATTTGCAGGTCTTCCTTGGGAATTGGGAATCGCAGAAACTCATCAGGTTCTTACTCTGAACAACCTACGTTCTCGTATGATAGTTCAAGCCGATGGACAATTGCGAACAGGATTTGATATTGTCGTAGCAGCTTTACTTGGAGCTGATGAATTTGGCTTTAGTACTGCTCCTTTGATCGCTATGGGATGCACAATGATGAGGAAATGTCACTTGAACACTTGTCCAGTCGGAATTGCTACGCAGGATCCTGTGTTGCGTAAGAAATTCGAAGGCAAACCTGAACATGTGATAAACTTCTTCTTCATGCTGGCCGAAGAGGTGAGACTTTGCAATTATTTTAAATTCTCTTTCATTCTATTTATATATCCTATTATTGATACAATTAAAAAATTCCAATTTTATATGAGTCTAATGATATTTTTATATTCTTATCACTATAGGTACGATCTCACATGGCCAATTTAGGTATTCGTAAATTCCAAGATCTCGTAGGACGCACTGATTTGCTGAAAGTTCGCGAAGACATTACTCACGACAAAGCTATGACGCTTAATTTGTCAAATATTGTTCGTAGCGCTTTAGATATGAGACCTGGTGTCAATATCAAAGGTGGATCAGTCAAACAAGACTTCCAGCTTGAGAATCGATTGGACAATCAACTGATTGAACAGGCAGCACCAGTATTGAGCGGACAGAAAAAGAGTGTCGATATCGAAATGACCATTAATAACGAATGCAGAGCATTCGCATCAACATTGAGTTATCATATTTCAAAGTTAGTATTAATTGTATACTTAATGCTTTTAACGAAAAAACGTTTCATTATTGAATGCTGTTCTTTATATGCTTTCTATCCTCTATGTAGACAATTTGGAGAGGCCGGTTTACCAGAACACAGTATAAATATTAAAATGACTGGTTCGGCTGGTCAGAGTTTCTGTGCATTCATGACTAGTGGTATTCATGTAACGTTGGAAGGAGATGCGAACGATTACGTAGGCAAGGTAATCTATGTATATTATATTTATATCATTTTTTAAAGACATATTGAGTATTACAATTTAAGAATGGCTTTTGATCATCTAATCTATTTCGATGTAAATGTTATTTAGAGTTTGTGCGGTGGCGAAATCGTAATTTACCCACCTAAGGAATCAGAATTCAATTCCGAAGCCAACGTCATCGTTGGTAATGTCTGTCTATATGGTGCAACTTCTGGAAAAGCTTATTTCCGTGGTATAGCTGCAGAAAGATTCAGTGTTCGTAACAGTGGCGCCATAGTTGTCGTAGAGGGTGTTGGTGATCATGGCTGTGAATACATGACTGGTGGTTGTGCAGTAATTTTAGGATTGACTGGGCGGAATTTCGCTGCCGGCATGTCTGGAGGAATCGCTTATGTATTGGACGTTGATGGCTCCTTTAAAAGGTAAAAGATAATTTCATTCATAATATTGGTTATTATACATATTTTTGTAATAGAAACTCATCATATTTTTCGATTTCTTTATCAGCAAATGCAATCCAGAAATGGTAGAATTGCTGCCGTTAAACGATAAAGACGACATTGCTTACGTGAAACAACTTTTGGAAGAATTTGTAGAAAAGACTGGATCGTTAATTGCTAAAGATTTGCTTGTGCTCTGGCCTGAACCTACTACGAGATTCGTTAAGGTACATTATTCTTCCACTTCTATATGACCACTGCTTCTTATTTTAGTATAGGATGAGACATTAAATTGTAGAGTTGGTACTTATTTTTGTAAATCATTATTTAATCATTATCTTGTAGGTCTTTCCATATGAATATCAACGTGCATTGAAGCAAATGGAGGAAGACAAGCTTGCCGAACCTGTTGTAAATGGAAATTCCAAAGCTGTGGAACCCCAAGTGAAGGACATCGAAGATGTTATAGCCGATGCCGATATGGAACAACGTAAACTGGATAAAATAAGGTAAAGAGTGTCGAGGAATTATTTTTAAGCGTTAAGAAATCATTTTTGTAAGATGACTCTGTTTTATGTATCTTATTTCACAGAGGATTCATGAAGTACAAGAGACATACTTCCGTGTACAGACCAGCTGAAAAACGATTGGAAGATTGGGATGAAATTTACAACTTCCCAGCTGTACGAAAAACGTTGAAAGTACAGGCTGCTCGGTGCATGGAATGCGGTGTGCCATTCTGTCAAAGTAGCCATGGTTGTCCCCTTGGCAATATAATTCCCAAATGGAATGATTTGATATTCCATTCCAACTGGAAAGAAGCTCTGAATCAGCTTTTACAAACGAATAACTTCCCTGGTAATTAGCTGGCCCATTATGTTATTAAAAATAGAATTATTACGTGGTAGAGTTTGAACCAATTATTTTTGACTACTTACGTAAAAAGCCTATTCTGCGATGTAAAAAATCAATGATTATAATTTGGATCCAATTAATGAGTAGTAACTGATTCCAAACTTTTGAATGAGGTTATTTTTATTGATCAATGAATGCTTAATTCGATGTTATAGATGTTTGTTTGAATTGCTTAATTTTTTTTTCAGAATTTACGGGAAGAGTTTGCCCAGCACCCTGTGAGGGCGCTTGCGTACTAGGAATATCAGAACCTCCTGTCACAATAAAAAATATCGAATGTGCAATCATAGACCATGCTTTTGAAAATGGGTGGATAGTTCCTCATCCTCCAGTACACAGAACTGGTTTTAAGGTTGCCGTTGTGGGATCTGGGCCTGCTGGACTTGCTGCTGCTCATCAGCTCAATAAAGCTGGTCACAATGTGACAGTCTTCGAAAGGAATGATCGTGTTGGCGGACTCCTACAATATGGAATTCCTACAATGAAATTGTCCAAGCAAGTTGTTCAACGAAGAGTCTCCTTACTTGCTGCGGAAGGAATAATATTCAAGACTGGCGTGAATGTTGGCAAGGATATTTCTGCAAAGGTAATTAACCGCCACAGCGTATCCTTTGTAATCAAATTGTTACAGTTGTTTATAATCTTTGACGGATAATTTAATTTGTTTTTTTTCTGTATAGGAATTGAAAGAGCAGTTTAACGCAGTTCTCCTATGTACTGGAGCTACATGGCCTAGAGATCTACCAATTCCAGGACGACATCTGGAGGGTATCCATTTTGCTGTGAGTTTCCTCGAACATTGGCAGAAAAAACAAATGGGTAATACCGCACCTTTGAATATGAGACTAATGGCTGAGAATAAGGATGTCATTATCATTGGTGGTGGAGACACTGGATGCGATTGCATTGCTACTTCCTTGCGACAGGTATAACTAAATATATTTTAAGATTTGAAATAGAACTATGGACAATTATAATAATATCTAATTTGTTCTAGGGTGCTAAGAGCATCACGACTTTTGAAATCCTTCCGGAGCCCCCAAAGAGAAGGGCAACGGACAATCCTTGGCCTCAATTCCCACGAGTATTTAAAGTCGATTATGGTCACGAGGAAGTGTCTCTTAAATTCGGCCGTGATCCACGCCAATTCAGTACGCTTAGCAAGGTACATTTTGATTTTTAATTTTGCATACATATTTTCAGTATTGCCAGTTTTTTCACAATAAATATATCTCTAAATTAATAATAGGAATTCCTTGATGATGGAAAAGGACACGTGAGCGGCATCAAGACCGTTACCGTAGAATGGACGAAGGATGATGTAGGACGTTGGAAGATGACGGAAGTGGAAGGTTCTGAAAAGGTTACTATTGCTCTCAATAATCAAATATTAAATAAACCTAAGCTAGTTAATGGTTCTAAATTTTTAATTTATCTTAATATACAGGTATACAAATGCGACTTAGTCTTACTAGCAATGGGTTTCTTGGGGCCCGAGAAGTACATCGCCGAGGACCTGGAAGCTAAACTAGATCCTCGTGGAAACTATGAAACTCCTGGAGGAAAATATGCAACCAGTTTATCTGGTATTTACGCTGCAGGAGGTATATATTCCATAAAAACAAGCTAACAAAAATCCTCACTGCAAATTTAATATAAACTTTATTATTTTGTATCTTATTTCTTATTTTAGACTGCAGAAGAGGTCAATCCCTTGTAGTTTGGGCAATAACTGAGGGACGGCAGGCAGCCAGAGAAATAGATTTTGCACTAGTAGGTCAAACAACTCTACCAGGACCCGGTGGAGTAATATCTGGTCTGATCGTATAAGAAGTCCAATGAAACAACGGAGTCTTCCTATCTTTGCATTAAAATACGTCGTAGACAATTTGAATCCTCTTTGGAGGAATTAGATCATGCAGATGAAGTTACCATACTTCAGGCTACGTTTGTGTTATGATGTTATGGTATTGGCTATGGTTTTTACGAAGATTTTATCAGTAAAAGAAAGGAATATGCCTTGTTAAAAGATAAAGGAGGTAAGCCTGTACGTATGAGCTCTACAATGGTTGAGAAGCGGACGCATGAATTCGATAGAGTTAATAATTGCGTACCTAGTTCGATACAGGGAATCGACTAAACAAGGTGAGATTAGAACACGAGATGCGTTGCCATAACGCTAATTTATTAAAATTTACTCGTGCTAGATATACTTAGAGATCTGTCTCTACTTGTTGGATATCATGGGGAAAGTTCCGTAAGAAAAAGTCTAAGATACTGTGGCGTAGACATTTCACTTTATTCTTATTAGATGAAAATTAAAAAGATTAATCGCATCTCTACCACATATTTATGAAAGAACGATGCAGTTTACGCTACGAATAATACTGCATAGGGATATTAATCTCGACTCTTTCATATGGATGGTCGTATTAATTTTTTTCAATTGGTTTTTTTTCTTCGCCCATACTAGTACAAGGACTAGTACTTTATTATGGACCGAAATTAAGTACTGAAAGTTTGGCAAAAATGATAAAGTAAGAGAATGTTATAACGAGAAACGGTATTAATGTGAGAATTAGAGTGTATGAGATGCAACAAACAAATTATGCTTTGCATTCCGTATTGCGGCAATGTTTTATTTCTATATATTCCCCGTCATTTATATTACGATCTCTGTGCGATCATAGTGAATTGGTTTATGGTTTTCAATAGTTGGATTTATTCAATGACCTACCTACTTAAGGCAAATCATCCATAGCTTTTGGTATGGCCTCATCTTCAGGGAAATGCCGATGGATACGTTTTAATTCAGCTCAGTAATACAGATGCAATAAAAATTAGCTCTTATCAAGTTCTGTGTAGTTAGCAGCTAAAATTCAGTCCTAAAAATTCAAATTAATTTTGGTATCATAATGACATAAAAGTTACCAATACGTGGTTGTATAGGTGAGATGGTGAATACGGTTCATGCAATTGTGTTCTTAAGGTGTTCCTCTGAAGTCAATCAATAACTATTGATGTTTCAAATTTGTCATACGTATAAAGTACAAAATTAACAATGTCCCTATTTGAAGTGCAGCTTTTATTAAATAGGTGCATTCATAAAACTGATAAATGGTATTTAATTTCTTGGCCTGATTGAATCGTATCCACTGCGTTTCATTAATAACATATTTAATAATGTATTACACTTTTTGCCGCGCATAAAATAATCTCATGAACGTAACGCGTGAAGACGAACGAGATATATATATACATAACACGCACGTTTGATTGCTCCTTGTTCATCTCTGTTCCATGTTATTCCTTCTATTTTTTTATGTTTCGTAGGCCTTATCGGTTTTGCTAACTTATAATCAACATCGAACGTTTATATTATACATAAATATATGTTATAGACTATTTATTTCGTGTATAAATTTATGTGTCACGTCTAGAACGTGCAACATCTTTATACTTCAGTATCTGCTCGTTACTACTCTAATTAGTTGATTAATATAAGTTACATGTATGAAATTCTCACTCCTATCACTGTACATTTCAATGCATACTATTATACTAACAAGACAATAAAAATATATTGAATGTTAATTTTGCGTGCTCCGGTCTCTGCACAAGTCAAAGTTAGTCGTACGAATCATGATTGAAAAATTACTCATTGCCCAAATTGTTCACAAAAAATAGTATTGATCAATGAGGAATCTGATGATTGTTTTGTGGAGGCTGCAGTGCGGGTGCACTGAATTTTGCAGAATAATTCACATGCCTGATAACGCCAAAACGTAGTGCTTAACAGCGTTATCTAGGGAAATTTCCCAGAACTGTCAAAAATGATCCCTCGAAAATGCAATTTTAGAAGATAAATTACAGAGATGAGTAAAGAGATGCATAACGTTACGGTTTTAGGCAATACGAAAATCATGGTGCTAAGTCGTAGCGGCGAGTCTGGAAGTAGGATTTTGTGATCATCGCCTCCATCGACAATGCGAATCCCGTTGTAGCCGAGCTAAACGTGAACACGAACGTGTAGCCTGGCCGGCAGAGGTTCTCGCAACTTACCGCTGGTTCCCAGAGCAACTCTTAGAACGAGACCGGGAACTATAGAACTTCTCAAGAACTATTGAAAAAGCGTATTGTTGAAACATTTTAAAGACATTTTTAAGAAAGTACAATGCCAACATGACACCCGTGTAGTACCACAATTTTTACTAAATATTACTGGATCTCGATTTACTTTCAAAATTTATTCACAATATTAATTTGAGGCTAAATCAAAATCTTGCAGAATATGCGGAGTAGATAAAAATTGCTACACGTTAGTGTTCACGTTTAGCTCAGCTACAACGAGATTCGCATTGTCGACGGAGGCGATGATCACAAAATCCTGCTTCCAGACTCGCCGCTACGATTTAGCGCCATGCTTTTGATATCGCCTAAAACCGGAGCTTTGTGCATCTCCCCACTCATCTCTGCATGAGATAACATACAAAGCCATCTTATGATGCCCATTTGACATTAAATAGAGATTATTTTAAGTGTGTACATCACATGAAAACTTAAACTCAAATTTAATTCAAACAACGCACAATTTCAGATGCATTTTAGGTAAAAATTATATTACTATTGTGTATTCTAAGTAGCCCATAATTTCACCCGGTGAAAGGTAGATAAAGACAGTCAACTCTAATAGGGATGCTTCATAAAGTGTGGCCTTCTAGTCGATCAAGGAACCTCTTAACATCTTTTGTCAAAACATCCTTTTCTCGAAGTTTAATATTATACTTAAATACCCTAATTGTATGCAGTATATATATCCTTAAGGTTAGTTTACGTTACTACAACGCTAAAATATTTATTCCAAGGAAAGCAGGATTGGCAAATTAGTTACATACAAGGCATATATACTTTTATATCAAACTAATGTTTTTTTATCGCAATTAACTTGGCCGCCATACCTGAATAACAATAATGTAAGAAAATAGATAAAAATTCTTATTCCATAATCACTAGTTTGTTCAATGAATACACTTTGTTTATTCATACCTCTAATTGCGATGTAGTATAACATGTCTGATATCGATAAAACCGCGTGTATACATCATTCAGTCAAAACTCACAGTAAACTATTAAAAAATATACGAGTCAATATAGAGGCTTATTATATACACACGTATAACTATTTTCTCAACGGTAATCTGTAGAGTGGCGTCCCACGTCGTCAGACGACGTCTAAAAGCGTCTTCGCTCGTACCAGGGTAGTCTGACGTGATGGTCGTTTTCACAGGCTGACAGAGACCGACAAGGGTTCCCGAGGAAGGAGGTCAGGTCTGAGGGGAGAGACGACTACGACGGTAGGTCACCGGGAAATACTGACGTCACCAGAGGGACGCAGCACGGAGCGTCGCGACGCTCTTTGCGCCGTCGCAAGCAACGAGAAACATGGACGGTCGTTATCAATAGCCGCGAAGCTGTGTATTCTTCTGCTAGCCTCTAATTTTCCAAATTGCAAGGAGACAAAATTCTAAGGATACGCGTAAAAATGATCATTTAAATTTGTGTCAATTTGCGCGCCCTTTTGCTTAACGCTCAAAAATTTCACTAGAGTCCCTAGACGAATTTCTCTGTGATTCATTGAAGTGCTGCCGAAGTCAATTAGGATTCTGCTCAGTGGTGGTGGTTGTTTCTATAATTGTGCAAGGGTGGTGCGTCGAGCATTCGCGGGTAATTTTTATTTTCTAAAAAGAAAAAATCGACTACGAGGCAGCACAAGAAAAAAAAAAAATTAATTGTGCCTATTAGCAACGCTTTAGACAATAGCGTACTTCTTTAAACTACGAAGGGTTGATTATTTGTATTATTTCTTCAGGAAATAATACAAGGACAAATATCTTACAGCTCCTGATTGTGTTCGATTAAAACACGGTGGATGCGTTATTTCTTCTGGAGGTGAAAAGTAGTTACGGAGAAGTTACAAGAAAATGGGATCGATCGTCCTGAAATCACTTTCCGTGTTACTCGGAATATTTTTCGTGTTCGTCGGTACGATGAAACTAACCTCTCACATCAGTAAGGATCTTCACAAGGATTTGGTGAGTTTCTCTTCGTGTTTTACAATGCCATGAAACAGATTCGACTGAGTTTGTTTCTAATTTGGAATACTTTCTTTGTATTTTAATCACCACGATTTTGCGCGTTACATAAGGTAACGCGTGGGACGCTCAGTGTCATCTATACCTGACCGATTCCACCCTTGCTTCTATTATCTATTTTAATTTTTGTCATACCTTAAAGTCCATGCAATTTTTTCTATAAAACTGGTTCTTAACCCTAGAACGGTACACTTCCGCATCCGATCACTAAAGATACACCTGGGTGTTGGCTGTGCGACACCCAGTGTACCGGTTCTAGGGTTAATACAGTACTGCATACATCGTAAATACGAATTTTAATATTCCTGCAAGTACGACGTGCATCCCTCGTTAATCCTCATCATGGCATTCTGGTTCAAATTGAAATGTTAACAGTCAATTATCAATATATCTAATGTACACAAACATTAAGCGACATATGCTTTTACTCATTAGATAATTCGCACAAGATCATTACGTTAATTTCCGCAACGCAAGAATTCCGCGAACGACGAATTACGAAATACTGTCGCGTCCTTGCGGACGACGCGTGAGTCAAGTTCGTAATTTTGGCAGCGTTGATCTTCAACAATATCATTTGGATGGGATTTCAACGGAATAACAGAAATTCGAATTTAACTCAGTCATTAGGTTACGGTATAAAAATAAATGAATCGTGAGTGTAAAAACCCTTTTAACATCTATTTTGTGATAATCGATCGATTTCAAGATTTCTACACATTGATCACATGACAAATATTTCTCGACGAGTTTCCGCCTTTTCGGTGTCCTTTAATAGATGTCTTATTTAACTAGATCACATTGGCACTTTTGGCAAAGATTTAATCGGTGTCTACCTGGATCGGATAATTCGTATCGGATGCTATTTCTGTAAGCCATTGCCACAGTCCGTGATCCGGTAACAGCTGAGCTACTCAACAGTTCTTCGAGACGTTCCTCGCTGTGCCGGTCCATTTGGGACGGCGCCAATAATCCCATATTTATGATTTAACCGAATTCACAGCACGCCTCTTTATTATCCGCTACATTTACAAAAACAATCTTTTTTAATACCTCATATCTTTCCGCTTTCATGTTTCAGAGAAAAGAATATGTCAAGTACGCCAAAGTATTCCCGCTCTCGGGTACCCTTGACTTCAAGGTACCAAGTAAATGGTATAGAAGAGTCGTCGGTTCCCTTGAAATCATTTGCGGACTCGCCATGGCAATCGTACCGAGTCGTAAGTTAACATTTTATTTAACCTTTATTTAATAGAAGACTCGCGGATAAAATGGCCTATAAAATTATTGTGACGGCGATACACGATTGCAAAGTTTTAATGAGATTTCAACTGTTTTGAATTTCTAGTTAAAGTACCGTTCTTTTGTTTACAGATAAAGTGAAGAATGCATCGAACACAGTGCTGCTACTTTTAATGCTCATGGCTGTTTACTCTCATTATATGGTGAATGATAAATTTGAAAGGATCGCGCCTGCGTTGGTAATGAACAATCCTTTAAGTTATTACAATCATACTTGATATATATAAATATAAACAATGTTAAACTGCACTTTTTTTTTAGGTATTCTTCTTTATGCTAACGGGCCGTCTGGTGATAGACTGGCAATTGAGACGACAGGATGTTCAGTCGGTAACAGCGAACGGCGTTGACGATAAAACAAAGAAACAAGACTGAGTCCGTTAGCAAAGAAAAGAAGAGAAATTAAAACAGAAACATGAACAAAGTTCACGTTGTTTCCCGCCCGCAAATCACGGCTACATTTTTTTTTCAAGCAGCCTGCTTTTTATCATACGTTATTTTATCTAATAATCGTACCAAAGCACCATGACAGTGACAACCCAGTAAACACATCTTGTAACGGTTCCATGCCAACTACATAAATTCTGTTATTATATAGCAGATATGTAACCTAAAAATGTGTTTGCTGAGACTGTCATGAGTATCTATTATGCTCAAATCGTTTTTCATCGCAATTCACCAATAATTAACTCACAATCCTGACTTAACCTATACGATTTCTTATTATTAGAAAGCTTTAAGTTTTCTCTTCTAGTCTACAGTGTAGGGTTATGAATATTATTCTATCCTCGTTTTGCTGATAATTACAAAATTTTACCTATAAATTTATACGGCCGAGTGGTACACGATCGGGATTAATGAAATAACCAATTATATTACGCAATCCTATAGGCGTACTGCCAAGTACACTCTGGCTGTGTTCAGCAGAAACACCGCTGAGGGAGCAATAAATTTGATTTGTCATTTGATCATAAATCTTGCAACAGTTGTGTGTGATTTAACCAATCAAATGTATTTGCTTTCTTAGCGGTGTTTCTGCTGAACACGGCCACCAATTCCCAATTTCACACTTGAGAGTGATTGATAAGCGCCCGATTTAAAAGCACGTAATACCAACTGCCATTCGAGTGAACGTGTTCTCTTTGATGTATCACATTTGACTTAGATATATTTCGTATACTATCATCCACGCGAATTAAATTACATATTTTGAATTATTATAATATATACAAGGTGTATCGTGTTTATTCGGACAGCCATTTTAGGCTGAACTCATATAGTGAAACACTGATTATAGTAATAATACATAAAGAAATGTTTATGCATAAGCTACATAATTTTTGACAGAAAAATGTGAATTCGACCAAAATCGGCTATTCATGATACATCCTGTATACATATATTATACATCTATAATATATATACATATATACATACCCCCACATCACATGTATATAATTGTATACTCTATATACATACCATATGCACGTATCACGCACTGATAATGATGGATTTCACGTATGTGAAAAAGTGAGCGCACAGAAGGTTAGAGATCATCCAACACATTTATCAAATTTAAATTCTTGTCTTGGAATTGCGTCTAGTGATCGACCACCTTAAGTGTCGCTCGATTATTGCTTTATGCTATTCGTAGTACTCGCTTTCTTTATTGGAATTTGTATAAATTATAATTTATCTGGATAAATTTTATCCTATCCTTATCTCAGCATAGGATTTATCGCGCGCGAATTGCAATCCCGCTTATTTATTAATAGATCATCGGCAAAGTTATTCACAATGTATCATACGATTCTTTAGAGCCATACTTTGGCGGATTTATATGCAGACGACACGGCGATATTGAGAATCGAAGCCTATTGTGATACACCTGTTATATATAGATCTCTTTTTTTTAGTTGTTACAAGAGACACGTCCGAATAAAAAAGATTAACGATGCATTCAGGTGATTTGAAGTAGCGATAAAAGATACGAGTTAGACGTTAGATTAACCTGAAGATTGCTGCTAAGTTCGTGTCATACGAGTGACGCGTTGGTGTAATTTATACGTATAATTGATAAAAGATCAATCGATGTAAAGAAGAAGAAAAGTAAAGAAATAAATACAGTCGTCCTTAGAATTGAGTGTTTGCAACGATATTCTTTCGAATAACAATAATTATAGAGAATAATACCGCACTGCAATGTTCATATTGATACTTCGATCAAAGAATATGTTTTTACTAAACACTTTTACGTTTGGTAGAATATTTATTCGATAATAATAGACGAACTACACGGTTATTTACAGGCATTTGCAAATTTTAGTTTAGGCGCTATATTTTCGTTTGCAAAATCTTTCTGTTTGCAAAATCGTACGTAATTAAAACAGTAAAAAATATATATGCAATTCTATTTAACAGTTTTCCTCTCAAGAACAATTTCAACTATATTCTCACGTTACACAAATGTTCTTCCTGCCCAAATATCAGCAGCTATTAGTGGGTAGTCCAAGCTGTACTAAACAAATGCATTTTCAGGACTAAAGAACCGCATAGAAATGCTTTGAAAATATCTCATTACTCCATTTTTGAACATCCATTTTGAAGAATGCATAGAAGCGTTGAAGAATTTGTGAAATGTGCAGTCGCGTGGAGTGGCGAGTATATTTAGTCTCATACAATTAACCTTCATTTTCCGCTTGCGAAAAAGTTATTATAAGTATTTGATTTTAGATTTAATCACAATATTACGACTAATCCGGAGCCCTTTATTGAAGTGCTCCTTTAGGCTGGGTCCTGACCGGTCGTAAGGAGATGAAGAGCTTTTTGCAAATTGAGTACTGCGGTAGGCACGTCATCATAATTCAAGGCACTTCCAGCCCATTTTATATACTTTTGGGCTTTACCCAATTCTTCCATGTCCAATGTAACACCACCTACATTAAGTATTGTAGGGACAATCACAAAGATAAGGGGACGCGTGGAGATGCGAAGGCAAATATTTGTATAAACTGACATGTTATTAAACATACCTTCTGTCTTTGGAGTGCCGCCGTAGTCTTCCGGATCAAATTGTAATGACTGTCTAGAGCCCTGCTTCGTCGAAACTGGCGTAGGATTATTAGCAGCAGGATTCACTGGCGTCGGAAGAGTTGGATAAGATAGATTTCCCTGACTAGGTTGTGGACTGGTTGAATTTGAACTTCCTGGGACCGATGGGAAACCATAAGCATCGCTAGGTGGAGGTTCGGCTGGTTGACTTCTAGGCGCTGAAACCAAATACAAGATCATTAATAAAAATAATTCTAAAGACTTTGTAATATGTACACATAGAGTTTCAGTGAAATGGAACCATGACGCCAAGCGTGCTTCATGATGTTTGCTGTTAATAAACAAAAATAAAACTGTCATCTCATTCTGAAATTACAGTTTACAATAGCTGTAACAGTTAATTGTGAGGACGGGAAATGCTTGAAGAAAATGAAAACTGGTGTTTTGAAAAATGAGAAAGTATCGCATATAAGCAGGATCCAGTTTTTCGATTATAATTAACAATTAATTTTTGTTGCTGTCAAAAATGAATCAAATAAACTGGATCCACGAATGAAATATAGGGTGGTGTTTAAATGTACCTTCGCCATCGGCATCTTCGCCAGCTGTTAAACATATAAATATTTATTTAGCTCTTTGATTCTATATTTGGAGGTCATATGTTATTACCTGGTTCCGCATCAGTAACTGGTTCATCATTCTCCGCTATGACAAATTTGATTAACATGAAAAATATATATTATGCCTTTGTATTTTGTTTTTTCTACCTGGCTGAGAAATTATAGGATCTTCATCCGGAGCTGGCTGAGATTCTTCAATTTCTTTATTTGCTATGAAATTTTATACACAGTAAAAATGTAGTGTATATTAATTGTTATCACATCTAATCAGCATTATTTACCTTCCTCATCTACTGTTATATCATCTGCTTCTCCAGAATCTTCAGCTAGATATTAGTGGCAATGAAATAAAACCAAGCTTATGTTACCATTTACTCGATAAACACAATTATTCAGAATGAGATGACAGACCACAAACAGGAAGAGTGGGATTTTTGTGAAAAATAATAAATTTAGCATATATTGAATGATTCAAAAATACAATAGAACTTGTTGACTGTAAAATCAAAATCTCTGTTTATATAGATGCTTATTGACATCAAAACATATATGATATATATAAAAATTGATGATTAAAATACTATATATATTAATGTTGGTTGTTACATATAAATTTATAAGGAAATATAAAGGCCTTACCAGGTGCAGGTGGAACATCATTGTTCTCGTCTTCTTCTAATTCCTCATTTTCATCTTTCATTGGACCAGGCATTGGAGTTTCCCCATTTTTCAGACAATTATGAATATATGCTGCTTTCCATTTTGCATATTTCCTATTTTGTGCAGCTTCCTCAGTAAGTTCTCCAAACGTTGTTAGTACGTCATACAGAATACCAGCAGTATAAAAGCTCTGAATAACACTCTTTCCAAAGTTGGATGCTCGATCATTCTTGTCAGCATACAAGAACAGTTTTAAAGCCCAATTCTCCAAATGAGCTTGTGCAGCAACTTCATTAGTTATGGCTTCATTGTCATGCATCGCTTTCTTGGTAGATTCGAGCCAGTCCATTAGTTTTAGCAAAAAATTTGTCTCTTCTGTAGTTTTTGTCGAAAGTTTGAGACCTGTTTGCAAAGCGTACAGTCGAGCTGCAACAAAAAACATAAACTGTAATTACAATCATTTAATCCAAATATCTTAATAATAGAATCCTTAATGTAACACACCCCAATAACTAACGACCGGATCTCGCTGATCATGTTCTGTTGCTACTTTCAAATAATGTTGAATACTTTTTAAAGGTGCTGGAATATCTGGAAGTACGGGTCCACCCATTTTTACTGCGTTTAATCAGTAGTACTGTAAGGCTTCACTTAATGAGAGTAAACGCTTCCAATTATGTTAGAGAGAAGTGTCAAAAACCTGGCCTGAAAAACAACCGTAAATTGCGACGTGCGACAGAACTACACAGAACGATGACACAACAGAGATGAGTACGGAGATGCACAACGCTACGGTTTTAGGCGATACCAAAAACATGGCGCTAAATCGTAGTGACGAGTCCGGGAATAGAATTTTGTGATCACCGCCTCCGTCGATAATGCATATCCCGTCGAAGCCGAGCTGAACGTGATCACGAACGGGTAGCCTGGCGGGCAGAGATTCTCCACAACTTACAACTGATTCCCAGAGCAACCCTTAGAAAGAGGCCGCATATCAGATATTGCCTAAATCTTTTTTTTTGTAATCTTAAATTCAAATGTACAGTGTAAGCTCGATAAGATTTACTAAGACAAAAGCCAGCACCTTATGCCTGCCTGTGTTAAGGAGTGCAGCGATGCGGTGCTAGCTTCCATCATTATTTAACAATAGTTCCAAGCGGAACTATGTTCCCAACATTGAGTACTAGAGTGAATTATTCCGGAACTGTTTGAAACACAAC